GGTCTTTGAACAGAACTTTATTGACATCGTGGTGATGTTTTGGAGTGAGAGGGGAAAATGCGTGTAACGTCGTGAGAAAGTGGCTTGGACTGGAGTGCTCAAGGGGGAAAGAGTATACACACAGCATAAAAAAGGGAAACGCAAGATGGAGACCTAGTAGTGAGAGTACCTTGGCTGCCCTCATTATATACTGCAGAGCAGTTTTTGGCAGCTTAATGATAGACTTTGGTAAAGCCAACAAGGCAGAGGCAAACTTTCGGATTGCTCTCTACAAAGGGAGGACAAAGCAGGGGTGAGAGTTAGAGAACATAACATTTGTTGCAAATAAAGGCCAAACAAACACATCTCATGACAAAGGATGTTAGCAGTTAGTACTTAAAAAGAAAGAAAACTTTAAGTGCAGAAAGAACCAACAAAATCAGGGAATTAGCAAAAGAACGACTTGTTACTTGTCTGTTGTAAGAACAATTACACATTAAAAATCGGTCCAAACAGAAATAGAAGCAAGCAGTCCCTTTTAAATAACCGATAAAGAAAGATCAAATCAAAAACAATCCAACTGGTGTTGCTGGACAAAATTATTTATTCTCAATGCAGGAAGTGGTAAAGGGGTAATGTCCTACGTTTGAGTGTACCTGAAATGCAGACTTCTTGGGTGTCTCTTCCTCCTTTTTATCCTCCTCTTCCTCCTCTTCTTCACTGTCCGTCTCAAACAGGTAATAGTTACCACTTCTCACCACTGAGAAGGGAGTGAAAGACAAGGTTAAAGGTTACCTACTTACACGAGTCCACCTGTGTATTAAATAGTACACACAAACAGTACCAGTCAAAAGTTTGGACACACCTACTCATTCAAGGGTTTTTCTTTATTTTTACTATGTTATACATTGTAGAATAATAGTGACGACATCAAAACTATGAAAGAACACATATGGAATCATGTAGTAACCAAAAAAGTGTTAAACAAATCAAAATATATTTTAGATTTTAGATTCTTCAAAGTAGCCACCCTTTGCCTTGATGACAGCTTTGCACACTCTTGGCATTCTCTCAACCAGCTTCATGAGGTAGTCACCTGGAATGCAATTCACATAACAGGTGTACCTTGTTAAAAGTTCATTTGTGGAATTTCTTTCCATCTTAATGCGTTTGAGCCAATCAGTTGTGTTGTGACAAGGTAGGGGTGGTATACAGAAGATAGCCCTATTTGGTAAAAGACCAAGTCCATATTATGGCAAGAACAGTTCAAATAAGCAAAGAGAAACGACAGTCCATCATTACTTTAAGACATGAAGGTCAGTCAATCCGGAAGATTTCAAGAACTTTGAACGTTTCTTCAAGTGCAGTCGCAAAAACCATCAAGCGCTCTGATGAAACTGGCTCTCATGAGGACCGCCACAGGAATGGAAGACCCAGAGTTACCTCTGCTGCAGAGGATAAGTTCATTAGAGTTAACTGCACCTCAGATTGCAGCCCAAATAAATGCTTCACAGAGTTCAAGTAACAGACACATCTCAATATCAACTGTTCAGAGGAGACTGTGTGAATCAGGCCTGGTCGAATTGCTGCAAAGAAACCACTACTAAAGGACACCAATAAGAAGAAGAGACTTGCTTGGGCCAAGAAACACGAGCAATCGACATTAGACCGGTAGAAATCTGTCCTTTGGTCTGATGAGTCCAAATTTGAGATTTTTGGTTCCAACCGCCGTGTCTTTGTGAGACGCAGAGCAGGTGAACGGATGATCTCTGCATGTGTGGTTCCCACTGAGAAGCATGGAGGAGGTGTGATGGTGTGGGGGTGCTTTGCTGGTGACACTGTCAGTGATTTATTTAGAACTCAAGGCACACTTAACCAGCATGGCTACCACAGCATTCTGCAGCAATACGCCATCCCATCTGGTTTGCGCTTAATGGGACTATCATTAATTTTTCAACAGGACAATGACCCAAAACACACCAGGCTGTGTAAGGGCTATTTGACCAAGAAGGAGAGTGATGGAGTGCTGCATCAGATGACCTGGCCTCCACAATCACCCGACCTCAACCCAATTGAGATGGTTTGGGATGAGTTGGACCGCAGAGTGAAGGAAAAGCAGCCAACAAGTGCTCAGCATATGTAGGAACTCCTTCAAGACTGTTGGAAAAGCATTCCAGGTGAAGCTGGTTGAGAGAATGCCAAGAGTGTGCAAAGCTGTCATCAAGGCAAAGGCTGGCTACTCTGAATAATCTAAAAATATAAAATCTATTTTTATTTGTTTAACACTTTTTTGGTTACTAATTTGTTGTCACTATTATTCTACAATGTAGAAAATAGTAAAAATAAAGAAAAACCCTTGAATGAGTAAGTGTGTCTAAACTTTTGACTGGTACTGTATATGAATGTAATGACAAACTGAAATCAGATATGTATTCATCTTGCGTGTCAATAACAAATTCATGTACTCTTAGAAAAAAGAAGCTATCTAGAACCTAAAAAGGTTCTTAGGCTGTTTCCATAAGAGAACCATTTGAAGAACCATTTTTGGTTCCAGGTAGAACCCTTTTGGGTTTCATGTAAGACCCTTTCCACAGAGGGTTCTACATGGAACCAACAATGGTTCAACCTGGAACCAAAAAGGGTTATCCTATGGGGACAGCCGCAGAACCCTTTTGGAACCCTTTTCCTAAGAGTGTGCCTAACTTGTTTACATGTAACTACAGTCACAGTATCTTATTGAATTGGAATATTGAAAGCTAAATTGCTTCAAATATCAAATAAAAAGGTTGAAGGTCACTCACTGGATGCATGGTCCACCCACGGCCTCCACCACTGCTTCTTTGTCTTCCCCCTGCTCTTCTCTTTGTCTGTCTTTTCTTTATCTGAAAAACAAAGGTTTTTTACTTGATGACATGAATGGAATGTGTCTGTATATGTAATTGTTGTGGGACTGTCATGAGTGTCTACAAACAGACTTATCGTTCAATCAATGCAAAACTGTATAGGCCTACATACAAGATCATCCAAACATGGCTGTTAGTGCACTCATTACTCAAAGCACAGAAGCCGACTAGCTGTCCCACCTTCATCCTCCTCCTCATCCTTGGCATCTCCGCTTTCCTGCACCAAGCTCAACATCCTCTCCTTGCCTCTCTTGAACTTCTGCTGCCGACTCTTGATGCGGTCCATTCTGATTGGACACAGAGATACAAACGATCACAAATTACCAATAGTCTCTGACCACTGTATATTTAAGCAATAAGGCCAGAGGGGGTGTAGTATATGGCCAATATACCACGGCTAAGGGCTGTTCTTATGCACGACGCAACACAGAGTGGCGCAGTGGTCTAAGGCACTGCATCTCAGTGCTTGAGGCGTCACTACAGACCCCCTGGTTCGATTCCAGGCTGTATCACAACCGGCCGTGATTGGGAGTCCCATAGGGCGGCGCACAATTGGCACAGCGTCGCCCGGGTTTGGCCGGTGTAGGCCGTCATTGTAAATAAGAATTTGTTCTTAACTGACTTGCCTAGTTAAATAAAGGTAAAATAAAAAATATTTACCACAAACTCCCGAGGTGCCTTATTGCTATTATAAACTGGTTACCAACTTAATTAGAGCAGTAAAAATATATGTTTTGTCATACACGTGATATACGGTCTGAATATACCATGGCTGTCAGCCAATCAGTATTCAGGCCTTGAACCACCCAGTTTATAATGACAATGAATCAATCCTTTGTTGATTCATTGTCTGTGGGCTTGCAGTGAAATCTCTTTGACAAAGTTATGATAATTCTGTGTGGGGCGCAGAAGGGGCAGAAATAGGGGTTAGTGTTTGGCTTGGTGTCAGGAGGTGTGTGGTTGTGTAGCAGCATCCACATTTATGTAGAAGTGTTTAGAAACTAATTTACAATAAAAGTGACTCCAAAATGACACAATACATTATTTACCATTCATTTCTGTTGGGCACAAAATAATCTCAAACACAACCAAAACAAACCACAAATGCATCCATTCACAAGCTTGATGTAGTCATTGCGTGCTAGGAATATGGGAACAAAATACTAAACTTTGGACTATTTTAATACCCATTAAGTGAATTTGTCCAAATACTTTTGGTTCCCTAAAATGGGGGGACTATGTACAAAAAGGGCTGTAATTTCTAAATGGTTCACCTGATATCAAATCCAAAGTGCTGGAGTACAGAGCCAAAATAACAAAACATTTGTCACTTTCCAATTACTTTTGGACCTCACTGTATAGTTTCAATAGGTTGAAGTTGTTATTGTCACGTGCACAAGTACACGCTCTTTCCCAACAATGCATTAATCAATATCAATATCCAGTATAGTACTATAAAATAAAGTAAAGTAGAACAAAAACACACAAGAAATAGAAATAAGAAGAACACGAGAAAGTAAGTAAGCTATTTACAGGGTCAGATTCAGGGTCAGTAAGCTATGTACAGGGACAGTTCCAGGGTCAGTAAGCTATATACAGGGTCAGTTCCAGGGTCAGTATGCTATATACAGGGTCAGTTCCAGGGTCAGTAAGCTATATACATGGTCAGTTCCAAGGTCAGTAAGCTATAAACAGGGTCAGTTCCAGGGTCAGTACCAATACAATATTTACAATGTGCAGGGATACTGGAGTGGTAGATACTGTATGTATAGGGGTAAGGGGACTAGGCATCAGGATATATGATAAACAGAGTAGCAGCAGCATATATTATGATTGTATGTGAGTGTGTGTGTGTAGAGACCTGTGAGTCAGTGCAAAAATTAAATAGAAGGGTCAATGGAAGTAGTCCGTGTAGCCATTTTGTTAGCTATTTAGCAGTCTTATGGCTTGGGGATAGAAGCTGTTCAGGAGCCTGTTGGTGTCAGATTTGTTGCTCCGGTACCGCTTGCCATACAGAAGCAGAGAGAACAGTCTATGGCTTTAGTGTATATTATATATTTTTGTGTGTACGTCATATATGTGTAATGTGTGTATATTATATATGTGTAGAAAATACGCTCACTGTCTCTTCAGCAGATCCATGGACTTCTTCTCCACTTCGATCCTGGCTTTGACAGCTTTCACTATGGTCGCCTGGAACAGCTCAGCCCCTCTAACACAACAAACAATACTTTTCATATAAATTGACAAATAATTTGATTGAATAAACAGTAAACTTTGATTTTCTTTTTTCAATTTTTTTATGTGATGGTCATTGTGAAAGTAAAGTAAGGTAAAGTAAATTAAAGTAAACCTTATCCCCAGGCTCAACTGAGAGAGAGCTGGATAGTAGACGAGGTTAAGTTTACCTGGAGGCGAGGATCTGTGAGGAGCGGATGTCGGCGACCACGTGCAGGAAGTAGTAGCTCATGAAAACACGTCGCTGTAGCAACAGGAAGGCAAAACAGATGCTATCCCAGATGATGCCTGCCTCGTCGCTAGGCAACTCACACTGCTTGTTGGTCTGCTGCTCAGCTGCAAGGATTTCAAAAATATTAATCATCAAATATTTATTCATTTAATATTTAGATTTTTTATATTTCGAAGAAAGTCAAATAAAACTTTTCTCCTCAACTCCAAAAATACTGTACAGTCCCCACCCCCTTCCAATGGAGTTATCATCAAGCATTTCTGAAAATGTAACTGAATAATGTTTTGCAAATCCTTTCAAGCGAGTGTTCAATTGTTGTCACATATTAACACAGAGAAAGTGAGTTTCCAAAGGCATGCTACTTTACATTGCTAATAAGGTCACTTACGCTTAGAATAGCCCTTTATAGTGCAGGCCAGGCTGAAGAGCTGAATGAGCCAACAGTGATCGGTGACCAGGACTTTTATGTACCCACAGGCTAGTATCTGAGGACCGAGAGGACAAACCACAGTCAGCTAAAACAGGACAGCCAAACACACCACACTATCTAGATTAGTGTATGCTGTTGCAGATATCTGATCAGCCGACCGAACTAATCCGATCTGGCCAGTCGGCCGAATTTATCCTATCTGTCCCCAATTGATCTGCAGTGTTTACCATTAATGCAATCTCCGCAAACGCAGGAACATTGCCTTTAAAAGCCTCATTGTTGACAAAGTGCGATCAGATTGAATCCCGGCCCTTGTTTCAGGACAGCAGTCTTGTTTTGTTTTCATTTAGAGTAGTATCGGTCTTTTTACTTTTTTCCCAATTATTAGGCAGGTGTGTGACACCATACTGCGCCCAGAGCCAGACTTCGGCAAACTTTCTTCCCCTTTGGCTCCAAAAACCCACAACAATAACATTTGTAAATGTTGCGTTCTAACTACAATGTCATTGTCTTACTACAACGTTTGGTGCCAAGATGGCCGCCCAAACTGAGTTTCCGAATTCCCAGTAATCCCAGTATTCAACACTGTATCTAGTGTTGCCAACACTTACTGAGAGTATGTTCTTCATGGTGATCACAAACACGTTGTAGGCAATCAGGAAGTCCCAGTAGTGCAGGATACTTTTGATTGGCTTGAGCAGCAGGTCGCCCCCGAAGAGCAGGAAGTAGAAGCAGGCCACCAGGTAGCCCATACAGAAGATGGAGATGCGCGTGGTGCCCGTGATGAAGATGATGGTGAGCACGAACCAGAAGAGGTAGCTGAACATGATCACCTTCAGCATGTCCAGGTAGGATCTGAAAGAGGGAAATTAATGAATATAGTCTTATTGAAGTGATTGAATTTAGTTGAGGGAATGACAACATTCAAAGCAATTTAATAAGTAATTTGTTTGGAATCTGTCATAAAATTTCAAAATCGGGTTTTGAACCAGACTATGGGGAAAGCATGCAGTTGCCGAAAACAGTAGCAAAATAACGTTCAACAAAAATCTATTCTGTAAAAATACATGTCCAAATACAATCTTTTTTATATCCATACAGAGATGAGCCCAAGTGATGAGCAGAGATACGTTGTGTATTTTATTCTACAACACAATATTTTTATTCATTAATTCAATATTTCAACTTTGTTGACACATCGTCCTCACTATCATCGTCATCACCACCTCCTGTTGTTTTTACAGACAGATGTATGTGAACTGGAGGAGCAGTGGTGTCGTCGAGACTTCGGAGTACATTGACTGATTAGTCTAGGGGGAGGGGGGTGACATTTCTGATACGACCTCGTGCTGACCGTTTCAAAGGGCCGGCTGTCACAGCGTTAAAGGCCACTCGTGTCAGAATGGTTCCTCCTGTTTCAGGAACATGGAAAACCATGTTTGAATCACTCACAGGACACGGTTAAAGGCTTGGAGGGCATGATTGTTTTAACATCCCTGAGTTATCTGAGTGAGGGAAAGAACGGTGAGAGTGGAGGGAAAACACAGGCGTTTGGCAATGTGCTCACTAAACCACTGCACATTTCAAAACAATGGGAACCCAAGGAAAGTGTCGAAAGCGACTCTATAATAGGCACTTTCGATAGGGACTTAGAGAGAAAGGGTGGAATAGCTTGACAGTGAATGGAAGATCTTGCCTAAGACCAAACTACTCACGTTGGCACTCTGAGAAAAACACATGGACTTTAGTACATAGGGATAACTCTTTCTTGAGTCACGGGTTCGAAACCTGATCAGGCACAGCCTGTGCACCAGACCTGGGCCTGGCTGATACTGTGTAGCATATAGACTTCGAATCCAGGGTCAGGAACACTCAGTGAACCAGCCCCCTACCTGCAGTGGATGAAGTCAGGGACAGGGTTGTGCTGACTGAAGGAGGCGGCGTCCAGGTCCCTGCAGATCTCCACATTGTCCCCGGCCAAGAGGCGCACGGCAGCCTCGTTCTCCTCCTCAAACACCTGCCTCTGCAGCGAGGCACACAGCAGCAGCATGAAGTCATCTGCAGGAGGAGGAAGAGGAGGAACAGAAAACAGGAGGATGAAGAAACAAAACACACTTCTTTCAAGACAAGCCAGTCCCAGTCCCAATCCCAGTCCCAATCCCAGTCCCAATCCCAGTCCCAGTCCTAGTCCCAGTCCCAATGGCAGCAATCCCAATGGCAAACGCTCAGTCAATACAGGTTGTACTCACAGAGCAGGAACAGGGGGTTGGGCTTGGTGTGGAAGTCAGGGAAATAGAGCCACTTGATGACGTTGGAGTCTGTGGAGGATGAGGGGAACCTCCATGGGTAGTCTGGGAAACAGAGGAGAGGGAATGGATTCATTTAAACACTATGATTATACAGTCTGTCATGACCTGTGCAAGATTATGTACAAACATTAACACATGTATTCTAACTATCAAGGAGAGACATTAAATGAAACAAACTGGACGCAGCAGGTCCAGCCATTGAGATAAATGGCCCTACATACAATATACAATACAATACAAAATGATGTGTTCGATATCATTCTGTTGCTCCACCCACCTTTGCAGGCGGCCGGGGGGAAGCCGATGCAGACAAAGTACTGGAAGGTGAGCATGCAGGCCAGGAAGCAGCTGTACTTGGGCCAGATCTCAGCGATGGCCTTTCGCCGCCGCCGGTAAATGACCACGATCAGGCCGAAGGCGTGGAGCATGGCATAGAAGTCCATCCTCTGGCCAATCACGTTCACCGCTAACAGGAAGCATGTCTGACAATAACAATGATAATAGTTTATGTTTAGGAAGGTTTAGTCTAAAGGGACTTTATATTGGGTCTACAGAGGGTTATGGGTAGGAAGCACGAAGATGGAGTTTGGAAGTAGGAGTTATGTCTCAGTCATAATTCCATACATTGTAAGAAACTTAAGGCTGGGTGATATGGTCAAAATATCATATCGCAATATTTTTATCATTTTTGACGGTATGGCAGTATCTGAATAATAAAAGTTCTAAATATGTTTAATGATTAGCGCTTGACCCTAGAATGATCACTAATTAATTCTAAGTGATTTTAATGGTCTTTCTTCAGATGGTTTTATACTCAACCAAACTAGGACAAAACTACTGAGAGTGAAGTAGTCCAATTTGTAGAACTTTTCATTTAATTTAGCACTGTATCCAAATATCGTTACCGGTATGGATGTGGATCCATACCGGTATACCGGTATTCACAATCTATTGCCCAGCCCTAAGGCAACTCAACAATTACTTCTTAATAGGTATTTCAAAACAAAGATATTCTTGTAAATATTCCAACTATCGCACAAGGAAAAAACATGCACACTTTGCTATAGTCCAAAAACTGATAAGGTATTTGCATAGTCAAACTCAACAGTGACATGACATCATACCTCCAGGCCGAACTTGTAGAAGAAGTAGTTGATGAAGTACTTGGCACAGTTGAGGATGCCGTCATCGAGGTGTTGGCGGGTGATGTCATGGAAGACGGTTCTGGTGACAGGGGTGGTGAGGTTGTTCCTCATGCGGTACAGGTCCTGGTGGCGGTAGATGGTCACCTCGAACGCCAGCAGGGCCAGTATCAATAGGTTGTTCTGGATGGAGATGGAGATAGGACAGATAAAGGGGACAGGGTTCAAATGACAGTGTATGTGTCAATGACATTAACATTGGCACCCCCATAAACACATTGGTCCAATATAGGTCTAACCCACTGTTTACAGGATACCACCAAGAGTTAAATGCCATTTGAACACTGGAGGGGATTACAGGGAGATGATATTAGTGTATAATGTAACACAATTACAGTAGTTGTAGGTATATGTGAGAGAGACAGGCTATACTGAATGTGTATGTGTATGTGCGTGTGTGTGTGTGTGTGTGTGTGTGTGTGTGCATGCTGCATATGTGCCCATGTGAGCCTGTGTGTGTGTGTAGTCAGCTTCCCAGTGCAGCTCCTCCACTCACCCTCAGGTTCTCCAGTAGGGGGGAGAACTTGCGGAGGCCCACCCAGTTGGCTGGGTCCACAGGGGCGCTGTAGAGCAGGGAGTGGGCCATCTCACTCCTCTGGGCATCCGTGTAGTTCAGAGGCTACAGACGAGAGGAAGCAATACAGGCTAGCACAACACAGCAGAGTATAATGACTGTTTTAGGTCAGACTGACCCCCTACAGGAGACACTCAAAGAGGAGAGACACAGAGGGAGAGACACACAGAGAGAGAGAGAGAGAGAGAGAGAGAGAGAGAGAGAGAGAAGGAGAGAGAGAGAGAGAGAGAGAGAGAGAGAGAGAGAGAGAGAGAGAAGAGAGAGAGAGAGAGAGAGAGAGAGAGAGAGAGAGAGAGAGAGAGAGAGAGAGAGAGAAGAGAGGAGGGAGAAGAGAGAGAGAGAGAGAAGAGAGAGAGAGAGAGAGAGAAGAGAGAGAGAGAGAGAGATAGAGAGAAAGCAGAGCGAGTGAGAGAAAGGAGAGAGAAAATAAATATTGAGGAAAGGAAAGATGAGAAGTTAAACATACTGTACCGCCCACACACCCACTCCCCCTTTCCACCAACACACACACACCCACTCCCCCTTTCCACCAACACACACACACCCACTCCCCTTTCCACCAACACACACACACCCACTCCCCCTTTCCACCAACACACACACACACCCACTCCCCCTTTCCACCAGCACACACCCACTCCCCCTTTCCACCACACACCACAACCACCACCCCACTCCCCCTTTCCACCAGCACACACACACTCCCCCTTTCCACCAACACACACACACACACCCACTCCCCCCTTTCCACCAGCACACACCCACTCCCCCTTTCCACCACCACACACACACACCCACTCCCCCTTTCCACCAACACACCACACACCCACTCCCCCTTTCCACCACCACACACACACACCCCACTCCCCCTTTCCACCAACACCACACACCACCCACTCCCCCTTTCCACCAACACACACACACCCACTCCCCCTTTCCACCAGCACACACACACACTTCCCCTTTCCACCAACACACACACACCCACTCCCCCTTTCCACCAGCACACACACTCACCCACTCCCCCTTTCCACCAGCACACACACACACACACTCCCCCTTTCCACCAGCACACACACACACTTCCCCTTTCCACCAGCACACACACACACCCACTCCCCCTTTCCACCAGCACACACACACACCCACTCCCCCTTTCCACCAGCACACACACACACCCACTCCCCCTTTCCACCACCACACACACACACCCACTCCCCCTTTCCACCAGCACACACACACACCCACTCCCCCTTTCCACCACCACACACACACACCCACTCCCCCTTTCCACCAACCACACACACACACCCACTCCCCCCTTTCCACCAACACACACACACCCACTCCCCCTTTCCACCAACACACACACACCCACTCCCCCTTTCCACCAACACACACACACCCACTCCCCCTTTCCACCAACTCACACACACCCACTCCCCCTTTCCACTAACCCACACTCCCTGGGCCTCTACCCACCATGGAGCAGTTCTTAGAGTATGTAGAGGGGTTTATAGAGGTGAGTTGGTAGAGCATCTTGCAGACGATGATGACGCAGGTCCAGACGGTACAGACGCTGGAGGCCAGGGGCCTGAACTGACTGAAGGGCAGGGCGAACGCCCAACTCACCAGGAACACATAGTTGAACAGAGACACCTGGAAAACAGATTCAGTCAAGAGACACCTTAACATTCTCAAGGTGGAGTATGTGTTCTGAAAATACAGTGGGACTGTCCATACATTGGATTTTGGAAGCCTATTTTGATGGAGGAGGAGAGTTGTCCGTTACAATGTAAAGACCATTTAGAGAGATCAACTGAAAAGTGGTGAGACTGTGCATACACAATCCATTAACAATCAGTGATTGTGAGGACTGTTAGCATCTCACGCTAGTATTCTCATTGCAATCCTGGTGAGAAAGTAGCTGAATAGGTCAGCTCACCTCTTTGATGGAGACCCAGATGATGTAGGATGAGACAATCTTGATGATGTGGAGCTCCAGGAGCCACCAGACGGTCAGTTGCAGCTGCTGGAAGTACTGCAGGAACTTGAGGAAGAGCACCGTGAGGCGGTCCACCACCAGATACCATTTACTCCTCAGGTCTGGGAGAGGAGGGAGAGTGAGAAAGACACACACACACAGAGAGACAGAGACAGAGACAGAGACAGAGACAGAGACAGAGACAGAGACAGAGACAGAGACAGAGACAGAGGAGAGAGAGAGACAGACAGACAGACAGAGACAGACACAGACAGACAGACAGACAGACAGACAGACAGACAGACAGACAGACAGACAGACAGACAGACAGACAGACAGACAGACAGACAGAGAGAGAGAGAGAGATAGAGAGACACAGAGAGAGAGAGAGTTTGAGAGAGCGAGAGCGAGAGAGAGAGAGATAGAGAGAGGACTTCACGTTAATAGTAGAAATGGAAACACTCTTTGTTCAAGAGCTAACCTGAGATTGTTTACAGTCAATTGTCAAGCAGTATTAAGGCCTAGATAAATCACTCTGTAAATGGGGACATAAATCTCACTAGCCTACAGTACACAGACGGAGATCCCGTTCCAAGTGCAGAGCTGCAGACAGTGAGCCAGAATACCACTAGGGGGTGGTGTTCAATTTGAATGGTGGTGGATGGGGGACAACATCGAAAGATAATTCAGTTCTCAACATTCAGTATAGTGTGCCGTCTGACGTGATGCTTTACAAACAAGTGATACTCTCATCTAACCTTGGAATACCCTCCTTCACAACCTTTTCACAACCAAAAGCAAACCATTTCAGATCCAACTGTCTGATAGCTAACAACAGGGAAGATGAAATCTGTGCCTTCATAACAGGAGCAGACAGAGATAGATCACACAGACACCTCTGACAGACAAACTTGTGTCACTTCCACGTGCGATTTACTCCCCTCGTCTATGTGTGACTGGGCTGAGGGGATTTCAGTCATCACACACACACACACGCAAACACCTCTAACATATTCAAACTCAGCAGGAAACAGATGTTGAACAGCCCAAGCACTGTTCTGTCAAGACTCTGAGACAGCGTCAGGGTTCAGACACACACACACAAACAAACTAGAGCTGGGACGATAAACAGAAAATGACAACGACCATACCAATCATTTATCGAAAGCATTTCACTGATATCGTTCCTCTTTCTAAAAATCTAATTTAACTGTATATAAGAATATATATAAGAATATATATAAGAATACATATAAGAATATATATATATATATATAAGAATATATATATATATATATATATATATATATGAGTACCAGTCAAAAGATTGGACACACCTACTCATTCAAGGGTTTTTCTTTATTTTTACTATTTTCTACATTGTAGAATAATAGTGAAGACATCAAAACTATGAAATAACACATATATAATCATGTAGTAACCAAAAAAGTGTTAAACAAATCTAAATATATTTTATATTTGAGAGTCTTCAAATATCCACCCTTTGCCTTGACAGCTTTGCACACTCTTGGCATTCTCTCAACCAGCTTCACCTAAAATGCTTTTCCAACAGTCTTGAAGGAGTTCCCACATATGCTGAGCACTTGTTGGCTGCTTTTCCATTACTCTGCCGTCCGACTCATCCCAAACCATCTCAATTGGGTTGAGGTCGGGGGATTGTGGAGGCCAGGTCATCTAAAGCAGCACTCCATCACTCTCCTTCTTGGTCAAATAGCCCTTACACAGCCTGGAGGTGTGTTGGGTCATTGTCCTGTTGAAAAACAAATGATAGTCCTACTAAGCCCAAACCAGATGGTATGGCGTATCACTGCAGAATGCTGTGGTAGCCATGCTGGTTAAGTGTGCCTTGAAATCTAAATAACTCACAGACAGTGTCACCAGCAAAGCACCCCCACACCATAACACCATGCTTTACGGTGGGAACTACACATGCAGAGATCATCCGTTCACCCACACCACGTCTCACAAAGACACGCCGGTTGGAACCAAAAATCTCCAATTTGGACTCCAGACCAAAGGACAAATTTCCACTGGTCTAATGTCGATTGCTCGTGTTTCTTGGCCCAAGCAGGTCTCTTCTTCTTATTGGTGTCCTTTAGTAAGAGTTTCTTTGCAGCAATTCGATCAGGAAGGCCTTATTCACACAGTCCCCTCTGAACAGTTGATGTTGAGATGTGTCTGTGACTTGAACTCTGTGATGCATTTATTTGGGCTGCAATTTCTGAGGCTGGTAACTCTAATGAACTTAACCTCTGCAGCAGAGGTAACTCCGGGTCTTCCATTCCTGTAACTCCGTGTCTTCCATTCCTGTGAGAGACAGTTTCATCATAGTGCTTGATGGTTTTTGCGACTGCACTTGAAGAAACTTTCAAAGTTCTTGAAATCTTCCAGATTGACTGACCTTCATGTCTTAAAGTAATGATGGACTATCATTTCTCTTTGCTTATTTGAGCTGTTCTTGCCATAATATGGACTTGGTATTTTACCAAATAGGGCTATCTTCTGTATACCACCCCTACCTTGTCACAACACAACTGATTGGCTCAAACGTATTAAGAAGGAGAATTCCACAAATTAACTTTTAACAAGGCACACCTGTTAATTGAAATGCATTCCAGGTGACTACCTCATGAAGCTGGTTGAGAGAATGCCAAGAGTGTGCAAAGCTGTCATCAAGGCAAAGGGTGGCTACTTTGAAGAATCTAAAATCTAAAATATATTTTGATTTGTTTAACACTTTTTTGGTTACTACATGATTCCATATGTGTTATTTCATAGTTTTGATGTCTTCACTATTATTCTACAATGTAAAAAATAGTAAAAATAAAGAAAAACCCTTGAATAAGTAGGTGTGTCTAAACTGTTGACTGGTAGTGTATATATACAGTTGAAGCCAGAAGTATACATACAACTTAGCCAAATACATTTAAACTCAGTTTTTCACAATTCCTGACATTTAATCCTAGTAAAAATTCCCTGTCTTAGGTCAGTTAGGATCACCACTTTATTTTAAGAATGTGAAATGTCAGAATAATAGTAGAGAGAATTATTTATTTAAGCTTTTATTTATTTCATCACATTCACAGTGGGTCAGAAGTTTACATACACTCAATTAGTATTGGGTAGCATTGCCTTTAAATTGTTTAACTTGGGTCAAACGTTTCGGGTAGCCTTCCACAAGCTTCCCACAATAAGTTGGTTGAATTTTGGCCCATTACTTCTGACAGAGCTGGTGTAACTGAGTCAGGTTTGTAGGCCTCCTTGCTCGCACACACTTTTTCAGTTCTGCCCACACATTTTCTATAGGATTGAGGTCAGGGCTTTGTGATGGCCACTCCAATCCCTTGACTTTGTTGTCCTTAAGCCATTTTGCCACAACTTTGGAAGTATGCTTGGGGTCATTGTCCATTTGGAAGACCAATTTGCGACCAAGCTTTAACTTCCTGACTGATGTCTTGAGATGTTGCTTCAATATATCCACACAATTGTCCTTCCTCATGATGCCATCTATTTTGTGAAGTGCACCAGACCCTCCAGCAGCAAAGCACCCCCACAGCATGATACTGCCACCCCCGTGTTTCACGGTTGGGATGGTGTTCTTCGGCTTGCAAGTTACCTCCTTTTTCCTCCAAACATAACGATGGTCATTATGGCCAAACAGTTCTATTTTTGTTTAATCAGACCAGAGGATATTTCCAAAAAGTACAGTCTTTGTCCCCATGTGCAGTTGCAAACCATAGTCTGGCTTTCTTATGGCAGTTTTGGAGCAGTGGCTTCTTCCTTGCTGAGCGGCCTTTCAGGTTATGTCGATATAGGACTCATTTTTCTTTGGATATAGATAGCTTTGTACCGGTTTCCTCCAGCATTTTCACAAGGTCCTTTGCTGTTGTTCTGGGATTTATTTTTTACTTTGCACCAAAGTACGTTCATCTCTAGGAGACAGAATGCGTCTCCTTCCTGAGCGGTATGACGGCTGCGTGGTCCCATGGTGTTTATGCTTGCATACTATTGTTTGTACAGATTAACGTGGTACCTTCAGGCGTTTGGAAATTGCTCCCAAGGATGAACCAGACTTGTGGAGGTCTACCATTTTTTTTCTGAGGTCTTGGCTGATTTATTTTGATTTTCACATGATGTAAAGCAAAGAGGCACTGAGTTTGAAGGTAGGCCTTGAAATACATCCACAGGTACACCTCCAATTTACATTTACGTCATTTAGCAGACGCTCTTATCCAGATCGACTTACAGGAGCAATTAGGGTTAAGTGCCTTGCTCAAGGGCACATCAACAGATTTTTAACCTAGTCGGCTCGGGGATTAGAACCAGCGACCTTTCGGTTACTGGCACAACGCTCTTAACCACTAAGCTACCTGCCGTCCCGGCAAATGATGTCGATTAGCCTATCAGAAGCTTCTAAAGCCATGACATCATTTTCTGGAATTTTCCAAGCTAGTCAGTTAACTTAGTGTATGTAAACTTCTGACCCACTGGAATTGTGATACAGTGAATTGAAAGTGAAATAATCTGTCTGTAAACAATTGTTGGAAAAATTACTTGTGTCATGCACAAAGTAGATGTCCTAACGACTTGCCAAAACGATAGTTTGTTAACAAGAAATTTGTGGAGTGGTTGAAAAACGAGTTTTAATCACTCCAACCTAAGTGTATGTAAACTTCAGACTTTATATATATATATACAGTATATTAATAGTGTGTAAATAGTATTTTTGTTATCTCTTGGTGTCTGTCCTAAATATAACTTATTACATTAAATTAAAATATATATATATAAAATCTTATGTTGTTCTTGTCTATTACTGTTCTGTACTTAGTCATGTATTTGTACGTTTTATGTTGACCCCCGGAAGAGTAGCTGCTGCATGTGTAGTAGCTTATGGGGATCCTAATAAACTAAACTAAACACACATTCAAACAGAGGAATAATTATTCTCACTCACTAGACAATCAAAGCTAAATGAAATTAGCCAGCATCAAATGAACACATCATTCACTGGGAAAAGACTACTAGAGAATTGGATCACATGTAGCCTAACTACTGTATCGGAGTTCAACAACCAAAATCCTCTATAGTTACTATGGCTAGCTACTTAGCCTTGGGCTACTGCATAAAGGACAGTGAGAAAATACCTCTGAGAAAGAGGTGTATTCAGGGTACCATAATAGAATGATACATACTAGAGGAGCATGGCTCTGCCAAGCCTGTTTGTTCAAACAAGTCTAGACACTTTCATTCCCATCTGTTTACTGCCTTCCTCTCAATTCGTGCCTGATTCACCGTCACTCCAATAAAGCCCTAGCGTATCAGGATATGTCACAATCACATCCAATCAATTATTTTATTACACTCCACCAAAATACAAAGTCTATGTACTTGGTCAATTATTCATAAAGACTAACCTAGTGGGATATGTCACAATCAGAACCTATCAATTGTTTTATAGGTTACCCCCGCTAACGTACAATGTTTACTTATCAAATTATTCCAGGTGATCAATTATTCCAGATGACGGCTTCTATATGAGATATATAAACTATGATTGGATGAATGAAGGTGCTTGCAAACTGATCCAACATTTTGTGATTTTCATAAAAGGTTTATTTGTTATCACGTGTGGCATGTGCATGTCTGTGTGAGTCTGTCTGTCTGTACCTGACATCTCGTCGACTGGAGACTCTGGTTGTGCTTTGGGGGGGCAGGGGTAGTTCTCCGCCTTGCTGCAGTGCTCCAGTGGTTCTTCATACCTCCTCCTCTCCTCCTCCCTTCTATTCTCCTCCTTCTCTTTGTCATCCTCCTCTTCCAGCTGCATCTTCTCCCCAGCCTCCTCCTCTTTGGTGGTCACAGTGAGGGAGGGTTTGATCAGAGAGATATCTGCCAGACTGCCGTCTAGGTGCACCAGCCTGGGAGTGGAGAATAGAATATAACAATAATATATATATATATATATATATATATATATATATATTTAGCAGAAAATGTTTATCCAAAGCATCCATACATTTCCGTTTAGGTGTGCCTAGTGGGAATCGAACTCAGGATAATTGGCATTGCAATCTGCCATGCTCTAGCAACTGAGCCGCACAGGACCAGAATATAAATAGAATTACTAGAATGGACAAAGCCTCTAATTCTAGTTTTATGGGAGAGACATTGTCAGGCTGGGTCCCTGTAGTTATCAAGAGAGTACTTGTTCCGTCTCCTTCCCTTCTTGTCCACTGGTCTCAAAGTGACAGGTGTAAACAACAGAGACCTATCCAGTCCATATGGCCTCTTCCTTCTCATAATATGTGACTAGTTCTGTACTGTTCTGTACCTTTAAAAAAAAATATTCTAATTTATGGAGAGCTTATTTACCATTCACTCGTAATCTCCCAAATCAAAATATGATTCAATAAAATAGCATGTGAGGACATTATGATGTTATTAACCCTTACATTTTATTCCACCCATACTTGCACTGCACCTTGTGCAGTGATCTGCGTAAAACACAGTTCAGAGGTGTGTAGTTAGTGTTTTAACTTGACACCATGTTAGAACTAGATGGAAATGGGTCAGAGTGAAAGACCAGGGAGGATATATAGTAAAACAGAGGGCTTGCCCAGGCAAGCAGCTTATGTTAGAGGCAGTAAGGCACCACTTAGTGGTCCTGAACTATGGGGTGTTTCCCTTCGACACTGTTCAGACACTGATTGACATGGAGGAGATCACAGTAAGAGCCTGGTACTTGGAACCCCTTATGGACAACTAACACTATTGAAATAATGAGAGATTTCTTTGATTTTAGAGACGGTGAAAGACAACATATTTTGAGGGGTAAGGCCAGCTTTGCTTAGCTTTCCATGGTGGGGGCTTGTGTGTGTTTGTGTGTGTGTACTTGTGTACGCATGTGCGTGCAAGATAAACACAATAATTGTTGCCTTGAATGACAACAACAAGTTAGCTAAAGCTAAAACAGGTGCCCTAAAGCTAAAGGTACAACAGGCAACGAGTAAAGGATTGAACACGAGCAGATAAAGAGAGGGGGCATTACAGTTAAACTTCCAGCCAGTAGGGGCATGGAGAATGGATAGCCATGGTAGATTTCACACATCAATTAAAAGAGACCCTTGAAAGACAGTGTGGACAGTTTTAATTCAATTAGAGGCTACTAGAGCCCAATACCATCCAGGCAAAATTGCTGATACAGTGATATAGTATTGCTGTGATTTTTTGTGTGTGATTTGTAAATCGTTAGGCAAGGGCAATTTAAGTGTAGGAAAGGATGAAACAGCGTCTGTGCTACCAGTAAGTACAGATAGTAGTATAAATCCCCTCGCACAGTCCCCGCAGCCGGACAATTTTCTCAAGGCTTCTGGAAAGAAATGCTGTCGGGCATGCTCAACCGGTGTCGCTCATTCAGCCGACAGAAACTTTCAACCGGTTCTCCCCATTAAGCGACGAGTCGGAGTCAGAGGCCGAGCCTTCTCAGGTCTCTCCTCCACCCGTTACGGGGTCTGAGCCACCGAAGCCTCCCACCATTAGCTCTGACAAATTGAAAACCCTAGTCATTGGCGACTCCATTACCAGCAATATTAGACTTAAAAAGAATCATCCAGCGATCATACACTGTTTACCAGGGGGCAGGGCTACCGACGTAAAGGCTAATCTGAAGATGGTGCTGGCTAAGGAAAAAACTGGCGAGTATAGAGAGTATATGGATATTGTTATCCACGTCGGCACCAACGATGTTAGGATGAAACAGTCAGAGGTCACCAAGAGCAACATAGCTTCAGCGTGTAAATTAGCTAGGAAGTTGTGTCGGCATCGAGTAATTGTCTCTGGCCCCCTCCCAGTTAGGGCGAGTGATGAGCTCTACAGCAGAGTCTCACAACTCAATCGCTGGTTGAAAACTGTTTTCTGCCCCTCCCAAAATATATAATTTGTAGATAATTGGCCCTCTTTCTGGGACTCACCCACAAACAGGACCAAGCCTGGCCTGCTGAGGAGTGACGGACTCCATCCTAGCTGGAGGGGTGCTCTCATCTTATCTATCAAACATAGACAGGGTTCTAACTCCTCTAGCTCCACAATGAGATAGGGTGCAGGCCAGGCAGCAGGCTTTTAGCCAGCCTGCCAGCTTAGTGGAGTCTGCCACTAGCACAGTCAGTGTAGTCAGCTCAGCTATCCCCATTGAGAACGTGTCTGTGCCTCGATCTAGGTTGAGCAAAACTAAACATGGAGGTGTTCGCCTTAGCAATCACTGGAATAAAGACCTCCTCCATTCCTGTCATTATTGAAAGAGATTGTTATATCTCACATCTCAAAATAGGGCTATTTAATGTTAGATTCCTCACTTCCAAGGCAGTTATTGTCAATGAACAAATCACTGATCATAATCTTGATGTGATTGGCCTGACTGAAACATGGCTTAAGCCTGATTAATTTACTGTGTTAAATGAGGCCTCTCCTCCTGGTTACACTAGTGAGGTGTTGCTAACATTTAAGATAGCAAATGTAAATTTACTCCCCCAAAAATGACTGCGTTTTCGTCTTTTGAGTTTCTAGTCATGAAATCTATGCAGCCTACTCAATCACTTTTTATAGCTACTGTTTACAGGCCTCCTGGGCCGTATACAGAGTTCCTCACTGAGTTCCCTGAATTCCTATCGGACCTTGTAGTCATGGTAGATAATATTCAAATTTTTGGTGACTTAATATTCACATGGAAAAGTCCACAGACCTACATCAAAAGGCTTTCGGAGCCATCATCGACTCAGTGGGTTTTGTCCAACATGTCTCCGGACCTACTCATTGCCACAGTCATACACTGGATTTAGTTTTGTCCCATGGAATAAATATTGTGGATCTAAATGTTTTTCCTCATAATCATGGACTATCGGACCACCATCTTATTACGTTTGCAATCGCAACAAATAATCTGCTCAGACCCCAACCAAGGATCATCAAAAGCCGTGCTATAAATTCTCGGACAACCCAAAGATTCCTAGATGCCCATCCAGACTCCCTCCACCTACTCAAGGACGTCAGAGTACAAAAATCAGTTAACGACCTAACTGAGGATTTAAATGTAACATTGCGTAATACCCTAGATGCAGTCACACCCCTAAAAACAAAAAACATTTGTCACAAGAAACTAGCTCCCTAGTATACAGAAAATACTCGAGCCCTGAAGCGAGCTTCCAGAAAATTGGAAAGGAAATGGCCCTCCACCAAACTGGAAGTCTTCCTACTAGCTTGGAAAGAAAGTACAATGCAATATCGAAGAGTCCTCACTGCTGCTCGATCATCCTATTTTTCCAACCTAATTGAGGAGAATAAGAACAATCCAAAATGTCTATTTGATACTGTCGCAAAGCTAACTAAAAAGCAGCATTCCCCAAGAGAGGATGCCTTTCACTTCAGCAGTGATGAATTCATGAACTTCTTCAACGAAAAGAAAGCAAATTACGGACTCCTCTTTGAATCTGCGTATTTCTCCAAAGCTCAGCTGTCCTGAGTCTGCACAAAACTGCCAGGACCTAGGATCAATGGAGACACTGAAGTTTTTTTATCCTATATCTCTTGACACATTCATGAAAATAGTCATGGCCTCTAAAACTTCAAGCTGCATACTGGACCCTATTCCGACTAAACTACTGAAAGAGCTACTTCCTGTGCTTGGCCCTCCTATGTTGAACATAATAAATGTCTCCCTATCCACTGGATGTGTACCAAACTCACTAAAAGTGGCAGTAATAAAGCCTCTCTTGAAAAAGCCAAACCTTGACCCAGAAAATGTAAAAAGATATCGGCCAATATCGAATCTCCCATTCCACTCAACATTTTTAGAAAAAGCTGTTGTGCAGCAACTCACTGCCTTCCTGAAGACAAATAATGTATACAAAACGCTTCAGTCTGGTTTTAGACCCCATCGTAGCACTGAGACTGCACTCGTGAAGGTGGTAAATGACATTTTAATGGAGTCAGACCAAGGCTCTGCATCTGTCCTCGTGCTCCTAGACCTTAGTGCTGCTTTTGACACCATCGATCACCACATTCTTTTGGAGAGATTGGAAACCTTAATTGGTCTACACGGACAAGTTCTTGTCTGGTTTAGATATTATCTGTCGCAAAGATAGCAGTTCGTCTCTGTGGATGGTTTGACCTCTGACAAATCAATTGTAAGTTTTGGTGTTCCTCAAGGTTCCGTTTTAGGACCACTATTGTTTTCACTATATATTTTACCTCTTGGTGATGTCATTCGGAAACACAATGTTAACTTTCATTGCTATGCGGACGACACACAGCTGTACATTTTGATGAAACATGGTGAAGCCCCAAAATTGCCTACCCTGGAAGCCTGTGTTTCAGACATAAGGAAGTGGATGGCGGCAAATGTTTTACTTTTGAACTCAGACAAAACACAGATGCTAGTTCTAGGTCCCAAGAAACAAAGAGATCTTCTGTTGGATCTGACAATTAATCTTGATGGTTGTACAGTCGTCTAAAAGACCATGACGTTACTCTGGACCCTGATCTCTCTTTTGACGAACATATCAAGAATATTTCAAGGACAGCTTTATTCCATCTTCGTAACATTGCAAGAATCAGAAACTTTTTGTCCAAAAATTATGCAGAAAAGCCAATCCATGTTTTTGTCACTTCTAGATTAGACTACTGCAATGCTCTACTCTCCGGCTACCCGGATAAAGCACTAAATAAACTTCAGTTAGTGCTAAACACGGCTGCTAGAATCTTGACTAGAACACAAACATTTGATCATATTACTCCAGTGCTAGCCTCTCTACACTGGCTTCCTGTTAAGACTAGGGCGGATTTCAAGGTTTTACTGCTAACCTACAAAGCATTACATGGGCTTGCTCCTACCTATCTCTCCGATTTGGTCCTGCTGTACATACCTACACATACGCTTCGGTCACAAGATGTACGCCTCCTTATTGTCCCTAGAATTTCTAAGCAAACAGCTGGAGGCAGGGCTTTCTCCTATAGAGCTCACTTTTTATGGAATGGTCTGCCTATCCATGTAAGAGACGCAGACTCGGTCTCAACCTCCTCCCCGTCTCTCCCTCCTCCCTGTCTCTCCCTCGTCCTCCCGTCTCTCCCTCCTCCTCCCTGTCTCTCCCTCCTCCCTGTCGCTCCCTCCTTCTCCCGTCTCTCCCTCCTCCTCCCGTCTCTCCCTCCTCCTCCCGTCTCTCCCTCCTCCCCCGTCTTTACCTCCTCCCTGTCTCTCCCTCCTCCCCCGTCTCTCCCTCCTCCCTGTGTCTCTCCCCCCTCCCTGTGTCTCTCCCTCCTCCCTGTCGCTCCCTCCTTCTCCCGTCTCTCCCTCCTCCCCCTGTCTCTCCCTCCTCCCCCCGTCTCTCCCTCCTCCCTGTCTCTCCCTCCTCCCCTCTCTTCAGTAGGTCCTATGATTGAGTATTGTCTGGCCCAGGGGTGCGAAGGTGAACGGAAAGGCACTGGAGCGACAACCGCCCTTGCTGTCTCTGCCTGGCCGGTTCCCATCTCTCTATTGGGATTCTCGGCCTCTGACCCTACTACGGGGGCTGAGTCACTGGCTTACTGGTGCTTTCCATGCCGTCCCTAGGAGGGGTGCGTCACATGAGTGGGTTGAGTCACTGACGTGATCTTCCTGTCCGGTTTGTCGCCCCCTCGGGCTCGTGCAGTGGAGGAGATCTTCGTAGGCTATACTCAGCCTTGTCTCAGGGTAGTAGGTTGGTGGTCAGTTGATATCCCTCTGGTGGTGTGGGGGCTGTGCTTTGGCAAAGTGGGTGGGGTTATATCCTGCCTGGTTGGCCCTGTCCGGGGGTATCGTCGGACGGGGCCACAGTGTCTCCCGACCCCCCGTCTCAGCCTCCAGTAACTATGCTGCAATAGTCTATGTGCCGGGGAGCTAGGGTCAGTCTGTTGTATCTGGTGTTATTCTCCTGTCTTATCCAGTGTCCTGTGTGAATTTAAGTATGCTCCCTCTAATTCTCTCTCTCTCCCTCCCCTCCCGGAGGACCTGAGCCTTAGGACCATGCCTCAGGACTACCTGGCCTGATGACTCCTTGCTGTCCCCAGTCCACCTAGTCGTGCTGCTGCTCCAGTTTCAACTCTTCTGCCTGTAGCTATGGAACCCTGACATGTTCACCGGACGTGCTACCTTGTACCAGGCCTGCTGTTTTCAACTCTCTCTCTCTACCGCACCTGCTATTTCAACCTCTAAATGCCCGGCTATTAAAAGCCAAGTGACATTTACTCCTGATGTACTGACCTGTTGCAACCTCTACAACCACTGTGATTATTATTTGACCCTGCTGGTCATCTATGAATGTTTGAACATCTTGGAGAAAAATCTGACCTTAATGGCCATGTACTGTTATAATCTCCACCCGGAACAGCCAGAAGGGGACTGGCCACCCCTCAGAGCCTGGTTCCTCTCTAGGTTTCTTCCTAGGTTTCTGCCTTCCTAGGGAGTTTTTCCTAGCCACAGTGCTTCTACATCTGCATTGCTTGCTGTTTGGGTTTTAGGTTGGGTTTCTGTATAGCACTTTGTGACATCTGCTGATTGATTTGATTGAAGTATCATGAGAAGTTGTATAGGTAAAAGGCAACTGCGACAATCACTTTAAGTGTATATGATATTGAAAACAACCATACATTGTATAGCTTGTCAAGGCAACCATTATGTCAGAATTCACTCGTATCAGGTTTGCTTCAAATATGACACATTTGTTGAAGAACAATAGCACTAATATTGATTGAATTAGAGCTTGGTAATACCTGTTGAGTTGATTGATCATGGAGTGGAGTGACACTTTGTCAAATAATTTTGAATCCTGCGAGACTTAGTGGTCAATTCCATGGACACTGCCAGAGAGTCAAATCTTACTTTCCTGACCCACATTCCCATACCATAGAGATAGATAGAGGACTCTAGTGCCCAAAAGCCTGTTATAGCATGGGCAGCGCCACTGAGGACTTTCACCATTTTCAAGCAGTCAACTGGGTGGGACTTCATATGGGTTAAGGAAGGATCACATAATTCCATCCAAGTCATCAGGAGGGATCAGCCAATGGATTATACTCGTGAGGAAACATACCATAACTGTGGGTGTAATTCGGCAACATTGGCTTCATACCTGTTCAAACAACACACTCTAGATGGCCGTGTGCACCCTTTCAGTTTGTTTACCAACTCATAGAAGTAGTAGAAGAAGAAAATGGACTACTTCAAAATGGAGATGGCCTCAATAGCGCTGCCCTTGCTCTCACAGACACCATAATGGGACAGATACAATGGTGCTATGTCTATGTAAGTCTATGTGTGAGACCCACCTGGTGATTGTGCTCTTCTGTTTGTCGGCCACCGTCTTGATGTCAGTGAGCAGGAGGAAGCGCTGGTGGAAGTAGTGCAGGTGGAGGATGCAGACCAACAGGAAGGAGGTGGGGATGAAGATCCTCATGAACAGAGCCGGGACAGAGAACTTCTCCAGGCCCAGATCCTCCAGTCTACACAGGGAGAGACGGGAGGAGGAGGGAGAGACAGTGAGGAGGGAGAGACAGGGCGGAGAGAGAGACAGGGAGGAGGGAGAGACAGGGAGGAGGGAGAGACGGGGCGGAGAGAGAGACAGGGAGGAGGGAGAGACAGGGAGGAAGGAGAGACAGGGAGGAGGGAGAGACAGGGAGGAGGGAGAGACGGGAGGAGGAGGGAGAGACAGGGAGGAGGGAGAGACAGGGAGGAGGGAAGAGACAGGGAGGAGGGAGAGACAGGGGGAGGAGGGAGAGACGGGAGGAGGAGGGAGAGACAGGGAGGAGGGAGAGACAGGGAGGAGGGAGAGACAGGGAGAAGGGAGAGACAGGGGGAGGAGGGAGAGACGGGAGGAGGAGGGAGAGACAGGGAGGAGGGAGAGACAGGGAGGAGGGAGAGACAGGGGCAGGATTGAGAGCCAGGGAGGAGGGAGAGACAGGTGGAGAGGGAGAGACAGGTGGAGGAGGGAGAGACAGGGGAAGAGGGAGAGACGGGAGGAGGAGGGAGAGACGGGGGGGGAGGAGGGAGAGACAGGGGGAGGAGGGCGGTTGACACGGAATGGTGGTAAAGACACATACACCCACACATTCACGAACAGGTGTGTATTTGTGCATACAGCCAAGCACACACACAAATACACACACACACACGCACACACATTCTCTCTCTCTCTCTGTACTCACTTGTCTTTGCTCATGCCGGTCATGTTGGACCAGACGTAGATGGAGGAGTCAAATTGGAAGGTGTAGACCAGGATGAGGACCAGCATGGTGTAGACCACCACAGACATCCAGAAGTACTTCAGCATCCTCCTCCACCACTCATAGTGCACCTGATGACCAGAGAGGTAGGCTATTACAAACCTACACATACGTTCAAATGACCATTCACTATTTTTAGTATTTTTTTAATTTTTTTTATTTCACCTTTATTTAACCAGGTAAACCAGTTGAGAACAAGTTCTCATTTACAACTGCGACCTGGCCAAGATAAAGCAAAGCAGTGCGATAAAAACAACACAGAGTTACATATGGGGTAAAACAAAACAAAGTAAAAAAAATAAAAAAATAAAAAATACAACAGAAATACATATATATACAGTGTGTGCAAATTTAGCAAGTTATGGAGTTAAGGCAATAAAATAGGCTATAGTGCAAAATAATTACAATTAGTATTAACACTGGAAAGATAGATGTGCAAGAGATGATGTGCAAATAGAGATACTGGGGTACAAATGAGCAAAATAAATAACAATATAGGGATGAGGTAGTTGGGCGGGCTAATTTCAGATGGGCTGTGTACAGGTGCAGTGATCGGTAAGGTGCTCTGACAACTGATGCTTAAAGTTAGTGAGGGAGATAAGTGTCTCCAGTTTCAGAGATTTTTGCAATTTGTTCCAGTCATTGGCAGCAGAGAACTGGAAGGAATTGCGGCCAAAGGAGGTGTTGGCTTTGGGGATGACCAGTGAGATATACCCGCTGGAGCGCAGACTACGGGTGGGTGTTGCTATGGTGACCAATGAGCTAAGATAAGGCGGGGATTTGCCTAGCAGTGATTTATAGATGGCCTGGAGCCAGTGGGTTTGGCGACGAATATGTAGTGAGGACCAGCCAACAAGAGCGTACAGGTCACAGTGGTGGGTATTATATGGGGCTTTGGAGACAAAACGGATGGCACTGTGATAGACTACATCCAATTTGCTGAGTAGAGTGTTGGAGGCTATTTTGTAAATGACATCGCCGAAGTCAAGGATCGGTAGGATAGTCAGTTTTACGAGGGCATGTTTGGCAGCATGAGTGAAGGAGGCTTTGTTGCGAAATAGGAAACCGATTCTAGATTTAACTTTGGATTGGAGATTCTTAATGTGAGTCTGGAAGGAGAGTTTACAGTCTAACCAGACACCTAGATATTTGTAGTTGTCCACATACTCTAGGTCAGACCCGTCGAGTGTAGTGATTCTAGTCGGGTGGGCGGGTGCAAGCAGCGTTCGGTTGAAGAGCATGCATTTAGTTTTGCTAGTGTTTAAGAGCAGTTGGAGGCTACTGAAGGAGTGTTGTATGGAATTGAAGCTCGTTTGGAGGTTTGTTAACACAGAGTCCAATGAAGGGCCAGATGTATACAAAATGGTGTCGTCTGCGTAGAGGTGGATCTGAGACTTACCAGCAGCAAGAGCGACGTCATTGATATACACAGAGAAAAGAGTTGGCCCAAGAATTGAACCCTGTGGCACCCCCATAGAGACTGCCATAGGTCCAGACAACAGGCCCTCCGATTTGACACATTGAACTCTATCTGAGAAGTAGTTGGTGAACCAGGAGAGGCAGTCATTTGAGAAACCAAGGCTATTTAGTCTGCCAATAAGAATGCGGTGGTTGACAGAGTCGAAAGCCTTGGCCAGGTCAATGAAAACGGCTGCACAGTACTGTCTATTATCGATCGCGGTTATAATATCGTTTAGGACCTTGAGCGTGGCTGAAGTGCACCCATGACCAGCTCGGAAACCGGATTGCATAGCGGAGAAGGTACGGTGGGATTCGAAATGGTCGGTGATCTGTTTGTTGACTTGGCTTTCAAAAACTTTTGAAAGGCAGGGCAGGATGGATATGGGTCTGTAACAGTTTGGATCTAGAGTGTCACCCCCCTTTGAAGAGGGGGATGACCGCGGCAGCTTTCCAATCTCTGGGGATCTCAGACGTTACGAAAGAGAGGTTGAACAGGCTAGTAATAGGGGTTGCGACAATTTCGGCGGCTAGTTTTAGAAAGAAAGGGTCCAGATTGTCTAGCCCAGATGATTTGTAGGGGTCCAGATTTTGCAGCTCTTTCAGAACATCAGCTGTCTGGATTTGTGTGAAGGAGAAGCGGGGGGGGCATGGGCAAGTTGCAGCGGAGGGTGCAGAGCTGGTGGCCGGGGTAGTGGTAGCCAGGTGGAAAGCATGGCCAGCCGTAGCAAAATGCTTGTTGAAATTCTCGATTATTGTAGATTTATCGGTGGTGATAGTGTTTCCTAGCCTCAGTGCAGTGGGCAGCTGGGAGGAAGTGCTCTTATTTTCCATGGACTTGTGTAGTGTATGTGTAGTTTTATTTTGTAGTTTAGTTTTATTTTTCATAGACACTCCAGATGTACAGAAATGGTGTATGTGGAGTGCACTTGATTTAGTTTCCCCGGTAGTACAGAACCAAAGGAAAAGTCCTATGAGACTAGATCAAAAACCTGCACACAGCCAGCCAGAGAGGAAGGTACCGTAAGCCTACAGTAACAGTACCTGGTAGCAGGCCACACAGAAGAGGAGGAGCATCATGTAGATGATCTTGTACATGACAATGCGTCCCTCGAAGCTGACGAAGAAGAACATGCCGGCGCAGATGTAGATCCAGTACTTGTTCAACATGGCCATGAACGTGTTGCCCAGCACCTGCATCATCTCCCTGTGGCCACCGCTCTCATCCACCTCCTCCTCCTTCACTATAGGAAACACAGGGGAGGGAAGAGCTGAAACAACGACAACAGCCACGAGGACGACAACAACAACATCAACAACAGAGGGATAAGCTAACACAGCTATGGCTAAATTGAATGTTTTCCATTTTGTTAAACTTTTTTTAATGATTAATGTCTTTCTTGACACCTGTGAGGTTATTCACATAGAGCAGAATCCTAATTCAAGACACATGCTTATATTTTGTTTATACAGGTCCCCTGTAGCTCAGTTGGTAGAGCATGGTGCTTGCAACGCCAGGGTTGTGGGTTCGTTTCCCTCGGGGGGCCAGTATGAAAATGTATGCACTCACTAACTGTAAGTCGCTCTGGATAAGAGCGTCTGCTAAATGACTAAAATGTTTATATCATGAATTTATGCCAATTGGAGATGTATGTGAAAGTTGGCATTACATGCCTTTATCTAGAACTGTACATACTCTCAACAGGAACTCTCAGACAGACGGGCAGACTGACTGACTGATAAACGGACAGACGGACTGACTGACTGACAGACTGACTAACTGATTGACAGACTGCCTAACTGACTAACAGACTCAGGGGCCGTCTCACCCTTCTTGTGGGCTTGGATGACCCTGATGTCCGATAGCACCTCTTCTTCTATCTTGCTCTCCTTCCTCTCTGTCAATGCCTGTCTCAGCAGCAGCCAGAAACTCAGCAGGCACAGCATCTTGGAACCCAGTTCCCGGAAGGGCACCTCTTTCTTTAAGAAGAGCCCAGGCACGGGGTGGAGGATCTCAAAGCTCCAGATGTACTGTAGGATGATCAACAGGTTCCCATAGAACACCATGAAGGGGGAAGTGATCATGGCGTACTTGCGTCGGTCGCGCACCATCCACAGCGTGCACGACCAGATGAGGAACACAAAGGTCAGCCAACTAACATAGGTGATACTCCACGCCTGGGGAGGGAGGGAGGGAGGGAGGGGGAGATGGGGAGATGGGGAGGGAGGAGAGAGAGAGAGAGAGAGAGAGAGAGAGAGAGAGAGAGAGAGAGAGAGAGAGAGAGAGAGAGAGAGAGAGAGAGAGAGAGAAAGAAAGAAAGAAAGAAAGAAAGAAAGAAAGAAAGAAAGAAAGAAAGAAAGAAAGAAAGAAAGAAAGAAAGAAAGCTAGATCATCAAGCCACTCACATTAGGAACTGACACTGTGAATAATAGTGAGGTTAAGCATCACATGTCATTGGTGTCACTGGTGTTACTAAAGGAACCACTTTAGTGAGATCAGCCAATGGCATAGATTGGTTACTGAATATCCTTTAACCAGCAGATCAAATGAAGTGATCTGAGACATATGAAAAACACAGTGCAGAGTTGTTTCTCAAGAGAGAGGGAATCCTTCTATACATCCACCCCCACCACCACCTTTCAACCTTCCAGGGACCTCAGCAGTGCTCCACTAACTAACTACCGATGGAGAGAGAACACACATCTATTCCTTGGTGTATGAGGTAAAACAATAGGAGCGCACCCCCCCCCCAGCCCTACTACACCCCACTGCTCTCTGAAATCCTATATCAGTGGAGCTTGGGAACTACATGGTACACATTACCTAGGGCCAACAGGGGCTGGCTGGAGCTGTCACCAGTAATGACTAGATTGGCCACCGGGAGGTGTTTATCCTGAAGCTCCCGCCGTCATCTGGGACTGAAAAGTTCCTTGCTCCTCTGACAGACACAACACACACACACACACACACGACTCACCATCATTGCGATGAGAGCACAGATGTAGCTTTGCTTCATGATGAACCTGAAGGTTGTTACCGCTGCGTTTGCTCGTGCCACGCCCCCCTCCTCCTCTGGTGCCATCGCCATCGCCAGAAGGAGGGAAGGAGGGAGGGAGGGAAGGAAGGAGGGAAGGAGGGAGGGAAGGAGAGAGGGAAGGAGGGAAGGTGGGAGGGAAGGAGGGAGGGAGGGGGAGGGAAGGAGAGAGGGAAAGAGGGAAGGAGAGAGGGAAGGCGGGAAGGAGGGAAGGAAGGAAGGAGGGAGAGAGCTGTTAGCATCTTGAGAACCGGATGTGAATCATCATCTAATAACTGCTGTCAGCCTTGAGAAGCAAATCCCCCTCTTTTTCACACTCCTTGTGATTTTCCTATTGTCCAGTGTTGCTGTTCTCCAGCATGAGTTGTGTGGGTGTGGAAGGTTGACGTTTGTAGGCAGAACTGAGCGAATTCCGCTAGATGAGCCAGCTGCAAAGTCAAAATGTGAATTTGTTTTATTTATATTTTTGGTCATTTAAGGTTTAGGGTTAGGCATTAGGGTTAGCAGTGTGGTTAAGGTTAGGGTTAAGGATATGGACAGATTTGATGACTTTGTGGCTGTGCCAGCTAGTGATCACTATGAGAGAAAAAATAATGTATTTACCTGATTTGTTTAATATTAATAGTCAACAATTATATTCTTAACAATAGTAAGGCATTTCTGTTCTACTAATGCTGTGTTTTCTGTAAATGGATGGTTCCACTCTCTGCTCCCTGCAGCTGGTCTGGGTGTATCGTGAAGTACATGGTGTGACTCGAGTTTAGAGATAGTTTTATTAACAGAATAGACCTGTATTGTCTCCCCTCATCTTTGCTTCTGTTCAACATGGTCACACGGTCAAGAGAAAGAGCCTCTGAGAGTGACCACAGTATTTCAGTTCATCCTGTCTTTTACTATCTTCCAAGGGCACAGCTGTGTGGAGATGTGAGGTGAACAGAGGCTGTCTTGAACGGAGAGGAGTAACAGAACTAACGTTATCACTTGTTTGTGCGCTATTAACCGATGCACATAGCCATAAGAAGAAAACAGGGTAGCTTGTTTTCTTCCGAGCTGACGTGGAGGGGTGGAACCAGCCATGACTAAGCATTTTTAGGTCCACTATATAAGACGTCAGCATTTCCTGTTTGTTGGGCTCTCAACTAATCATCTACGGGGGTTCGTTGACCAGCTCCATTATTGCAGTAATGAATCGATATTAAATAAAGATGATTGTTTGAAGAAATGACAAAGTCTCTCTCACTTGATTCGAATTTCCACCACACCACTCTGCATTGCTGCCTCCAGGGCAAAATTCATGACAATAAATGCCAACCTATGTGGTTTTATTCTCGGTATGTGGGTGATACTAACCCAGGTCTGGTTGGCCTGGTTTGTACTGCGGTGTGGAGTACAGGTCCAGTCCCAGAGGCCCGTTGGTGGGGACATAGTCCGGACGAGGCCCGTTGGAGGTTACTATCAACACCTGGGGTAGAAAAACGCCCTTAGCGGGGAGATTCAAAATAGCGTTAGTAAGTTTATGAATGCATTATCATCAATGTTTTTGCTTGTCCAATAGCTTTTATTTAAATGATATTTGTTGGCTAAGTGACGTCTGATTTCCAAGCAACTAAAACATTCTCAAAACTAGGTCATGTTGCAAGTTACAACATATAGAAAGGAATAGCATACTAACCTCAGATGTGCTGTATCCATCTTGGGTGGAAAGCTTGGAAAAAAAACAAATATAAAATTAAGACTGCCTTCATATGATACTCAATGTTTGCTTACAAACACATGACCAGTGACAGTATTGGCACACACAACACCTTGCACATGGACATTACAGGACATTGCAGGGCCATAAAGGAATACAGTACACTACAGTACAGGTCTGTGTAATACTACTACAGTAAAGGTGTGTGTAATATTACTGCAGTACAGGTGTGTGTAATATTACTGCAGTACATAGTCAGGATGTTTGTGTACATTTCTGTCATCTGTGTAGTGAGTCATCCTCCACAGCTCTCTCCTCTTCTCTGCTTTGGGAGTGATGTTATCGACCATAGGCTCCTCCCCTTCACCCAGATCCCCCCCTTCGCCCTGATCAGGCACCTGTTAAACAGTAGAAAACATTTTTTTTCAACATGTACGTTACGATAAATGTGGGGATTAGGAAATCTACAAATGTCCTTGTAAATCTGTGGGTTTTCGTAAGATCCAACCATTTCCAAGAACTGTGGATGAGAGGAAGAATGTTTCCTCTGTGTCAATTTAGTGTGAAGCATAGAGTGACTCATTTAGTAAATATGGATACGCCCATGTTTTCAACCACAAATTGAAACAGCCCTTTCAATTAGAAAATACAGTTCAACACAGCTACACTGCACCAAAATGGTGGTGGTGTTACAGGAGATCCTATGCAGTTAGACCGCCGCCATTTTGGTGCAGTGTGGATTCTGTAGGGGAGCGCACAGTGTACCACAGGGCCCTGAACCAAAATCGTGTCAGTGTTACCGCAAAGTTAACACACCATATACCACTGGAGCCCTGCCCCAAAATGGGCACTGTGTTACAATAATATTAACTCACCGTGTCTGTGGTGTCCTGGAGCCAAAAGCGTATGAGCGTGGCCAGGGTGTAGTAGAGCACCAGCAGCATGATGGGGTTGACATAGTGGTGCCAGGCCAGCGCCGGGTTGACCCGGAACATCCAGGTGTAGGAACAGTCAGTCTGTACCACTGACGAGATGCCAAACAGACTGGTGGAGGGAGGGAAGGACGGGGGGATAGAGTATTATTTCTTACACAGTTGTGCGATGCTCTTGACAATCTGAGAACAATCCAGCCACAATCTATTGACATGCCATTCCCCATGTAGAGCTGAGAGAGAGAGAGAGAAATCACCAGAATGGGGCATATTATATTATTGAATAGGCAAGCAAATACTTTTGGAAGGGATTCTGATAATCAGAGAATAGCAGCAGTCAGCAATAGCACAGAGGATATTACAGAATTAAACTCCTCCATTACTTTCATTCCCTCTTTAATTACAATCACCCCCCTCTGCGTCTTGGCAGTTGGTTACATGTAAAAAATCAACTTTTACTGGTACAGCATTCTCTGGAATGGTAACCCTGATCAGTAGCATAACCAGACAGTACTTTTGATTAGTTCTCCCAAGTCATATCGTCACATACTGTAAATGATCAAACACACACTTTTACATGGACAAGACTTGAAAGACAGTGTGACATGTTTCTATAATGCTGTGTATTTTCAATGAGATAATGAATGTAGTTAGAGTATGGGCTGCAGCCCGGTGCTGTGGACCCACCAAGATAAAGTCACTAGTATAAACAACAGCAACTGCTTCAAGCATGTCTCCGGAACCACAAAACCCACAATGCCCTGGCCCAACATCTTAGTACCCTCAGAAACACTTTCAACTTACACCAGCAGTAACAATGTTTTGGTCTCTCTCTTTCTCTCTTTCACTCTCTCTCTCTACTGTTTTAATAACACTAAAGAAGGCAGTCGGCGAGCAAAACAACAACAGATGTCTCTCGGGTAAAGGACAGAAAAGAAAGGGAGGACAGAAAGAGAGAAAAGAGAGGGAGAGATGCCAAAGTGCACAATAGTCACTCCAGCAGTCTTTCATTTTGGATTTATATCATGCCATTATAATTGACCAGAATAGCTTTCTCTGGGATCACGGCCCTCATGTCCTGTCAGGAGTAATGTAAGTATAACAGAAGTCGGCCTATGAGACTTGAGGTGCACAAACATTCTAAAACTGTAGCTTGTATTAATAATAGATAGAACCTAGAACACACTTAGTAACACGTTGGGTTTGGGTGCATGGCTCTTTTTAACTGGCCAAAGGAATAAATATGAAGTGTTATTTCCTCTGCCTCCTTGGTATAGCCAGCCTCCGAACCAGATGCTTTCATGCCCAAGCCGTTCTGCCACAGCTGGGGAAAGCTAACCACTGAGTACTGGTGTGTCTTCAATCAAGTGGCATAGGGTGAATGTCAATAGTATTTATTTGATTCCTCGTGTCCTCTCTCCTCGCCTACTTCTCAAAACACATTGGAGGAGGTCAGAGGGGAGGAGGAGAAGGTGAGGAGAGGAATCAAGGAAAAAATATAATTGAGATTTACCCAAAGGCCACAGGGCACTGTGTGGGTGATTCTAATCTGCCATGGATTGTCATGGTTTTCCAAGGAAGATAGACAGTGAACGTGGTTCAGAAATAAAAATGAATCTACAACAGGGATTGCAGGAGATCAAAGATGTAATTTGTGGAGTCATACGCACCACTACATGCAAACAACACCGATTGGATACACAACAAGAACACACAGATGCCTGAGTCATTGATACACCCATTCTTGCGCTGACGCTACGATAAACACTTATACCAAAAACCCCATTTGGCATTTGCTTCTAATCTGAGCATTTTATGGGCCACATTTGCATTTTTTTCTCTACTCTCAAGTCGTTTTTCTTCCGCAGTTTGGATCTAAATTGAAAAGCACACATATTTCGACTAGAGCTTGGGTAGTAACCAAAACGGTATCCTCGCCCGCAAATGCTAAATTACAAAGCTGGTAGTGATTGTACCTGTTTGATATTCAGAGGGTTCTTTGTTTTAGCCCAGGGGCAAGGCAACTATGCACTGAATCAGCCCAGCGCTGTAGCTATTAGTGGTGGGGTGCATCACAATTTGGGGAATATTTGGGGCCTGTGTCTCACAGACTAACTCCTGGGCCTTTGTCTCACAGACTAACTCCTGGGCCTTTGTCTCACAGACTAACTCATGGGCCTTTGTCTCACAGACTAACTCATGGGCCTTTGTCTCACAGACTAACTCCTGGGCATTTGTCTCACAGACTAACTCCTGGGCATTTGTCTCACAGACTAACTCCTGGGCATTTGTCTCAGACTAACTCCTGGGCATTTGTCTCACAGACTAACTCCTGGGCCTTTGTCTCACAGACTAACTCCTGGGCCTTTGTCTCACAGAGTAACTCTGATTCGGCAAAATGGTCTGATCAAGTGGTAGAATAATGGGTTTCATTAAAGAAATTAGTGCAGACGTATAGGGAAACATCCCAAGCACATAACCCTACTTCTTTATTTCTCATCCCTTTGCTTATTCTGTATTTTCCTCCATCTTTCACTGTCCTTCCAAGGAGAAACAGGAAACACACGTGTACTGTATGTTTCAGTACAAATATAAAACTCACAGTGTGGGGGTGTTCTGTGTCTTAAGTCTTTCACATAATACTGTACCGTTTAAAAACGAAAAAAAAAAAAAAAATGCATGAAATGTAATGTCATTCCTAGGGGTTTTGAAACAGCGAATGGGGTGGTAATGTTCAACACATTAAAGCAAGACGGTCTTGAAGGTCAGTCCCATTGTGTTTGTACTGTTATGTCACAGAATACCCCTCCCCTCACTCACACACAAACACACATACACACACAAACACATGCACACCCACACCCAAACACACACACCTCGTTACCCAGCAGTCTCCATTTAAGTGATAATGCCCGAGAAGCCGGTGTTTGGAGGATATATTGGCACGGGTGTTGTTAATGTCTTGGGCCGGCAAACCGTGCCAATATATCCTCAAAACACCGGCTTCGAGGGCATTATCACTTTTATTCAATGGGTTACCAACATATTCAAATAATGATTTACATATTTTCATTAAAAACGTTATTTTGATTAATTTCTTCATATTATTTCATCCTTCCACAAGAAATAGTCCCGACACAAATCTAGGGTTGCTACCCAAGCCAGCTGGTCGTTTGTTCTATTGGTTCGGTTGCCAGAGATGCGACCCAGTCGTTCAGTCTTTTTGTTCTGTATCTCACATTTCTTTTAGACTAACATTTAGTTTTCCACAGAGGAGATTTGTATAAACCTTGCTGTTTGTCTCTCCGATGCTACATGCTTTTTATAGTGGAGATCAAGTTTATAAATTGCCTGGCTGGGCTGATGAGACAGTGGATTGCGCAGTCAAATGGAACAGAATAAATAGGCATTTTAACGTCATAGATTTAGCCGGTGGTAACTTGTGGAATAGACACCGGCTGGAATGTGGTTTTAACCAATCAGCATTCAGGATTAGACCCACCCGTTGTATAAAGAACAATAATATACAGCGTTACAGCGGACTCCATACAGAACAGCCTTTGGACCACCCCCCACCACTTGAACGCACACACAGACACACAAAAGCAGTTCTCTGACAACTGGTGTGTAAGGTGTCTGTGTTCTGTCATTAGTTACAGATTTGGGGGGCATATTTCAGTGCAAACGAGTGCTTTCAGCAATTAGTTCTGTATCCTTCACTAAGGCCTTTCTAAGACAATGCTACCGGCACCAAGCAACAGAAACATTATATTGACCAGCCCTCCCCAGGGCTGACTGTAGGCGTAGTTCAGCATTGTTACAGTGTTCTCCTTCTAAAAAGAGTATGATCATGCCCTAATTTACTTTCCTTAGGGTCTCTCTCTCTCTCTCTCTCTCTCTCTCTCTCTCTCTCTCTCTCTCTCTCTCTCTCTCTCTCTCTCTCTATCTCTCTCTCTCTCTCTCTCTCTCTCTCTCTCTCCTTGTTTCAGTCAGCTTAGATTTTTTTCTCCCTCTCTCGCTCACTCCCACAATTCGTGTCGAGTTCCTTGAAACCAGCTGTGTAATTTCTGAGCGGGCCAAGAATGGGCTGGCGTAATGAGAACCACCTGGGTCTGTGGAGCGGAGGGGAGCCGGGCCGGCCGGTCGGTGCCACCTCTCCCTGGTCTGGTTCTCTCTGGGCCCTGATAGGGGCTGGATGGAGGGGCCAGATGCACCAGACTGGGTCACAGGGTGGGTGGGGGAGTGTGTGTGGGGTGGTTGACCTAGGTTGAAATGGGGGTGGGTGGCTTGGGGGGGTTGACACTGGACCTGGAATGTACCAGGTCATAGTGTGCGAGTGCAGTGTGTGTGTGATGGGAGGGGGGACTACTTGTCCAGATGCCCTGGGTCACAGAGTGGGTGGGATTGTGTGTGTGTATGGGTCACAGAGTGTGTGAGTGTGTGTGTGTGTGTGGGGGGGGGGGGGGGGGGGGGGGGTTGAAGTGTGTGTGCTTATCTAGGGTAGAGGTATTCTGAGATATATAGAACTGCAGGGCCTAAATAAGGGGATAGATTGTGTGGGGAGATGAACAGAGTACAGTGATTTGTGGGATACCGATGTTAGCCTTAACTAAGATCTTGGTGAAATACAGTGGTTAGTTGGGACACATTAAACCACAATCGAAAAATCTATTTACTCTACGGTAGTCTCCCAATGCTCAATAGTTGTACATCATTGTACAGGGGCGCAATTATATATATATATATATTTTTTTTATTCAGTCGGATAAACACTCCAAACAGCCTACCCGACCGCTCGGAGGCTTCCGCATGGTCCTAAAGCACACCATTGCCTCGTTTTGTATCACATTCCAATGATAAAACTGGGGGGACAAAAATTGCCATAGATAATCAAGCAGATTTAAGTCAAAACTGTAACTCGGCCACTCAGGAACATTCACTGTCTTCTTGGTAAGCAACTCCAGTGTAGATTTGGCCTTGTGTTTTAGGTTATTGTCCTGCTGAAAGGTGAATTAATTTCCCAGTGCCTGGTGGAAAGCAGACTGAAGCAGGTTTTCCTCTAAGATTTTGCCTGTGCTTAGCTCCATTTAGTTTCTTTTTTATCCTGAAAAACTCCCCAGTTCTTAACGATTACAAGATCTCATAAAATGATGCAGCCACCACTACGCTTGAAAATATGGAGAGTGGTACTCAGTAATTTGTTGTATTGGATTTGCCTGAAACATAACACTTTGTATTATATATATATATATATATACAGTGAGGGAAAAAATTTGATCCCCTGCTGATTTTGTACGTTTGCCCACTGACAAAGAAATGATCAGTCTATCATTTTAATGGTAGGTTTATTTGAACAGTGAGAGACAGAATAACAACAAAAAAATCCAGAAAAACGCATGTCAAAAATGTTATAAATTGATTTGCATTTTAATGAGGGAAATAAGTATTTGACCCCCTCTCAATCAGAAAGATTTCTGGCTCCCAGGTGTCTTTTATACAGGTAACGAGCTGAGATTAGGAGCACACTCTTAAAGGGAGTGCTCCTAATCTCAGCTTGTTACCTGTATAAAAGACACCTGTCCACAGAAGCAATCAATCAATCAGATTCCAAACTCTCCACCATGGCCAAGACCAAAGAGCTCTCCAAGGATGTCAGGGACAAGATTGTAGACCTACACAAGGCTGGAATGGGCTACAAGACCATCGCCAAGCAGCTTGGTGAAAAGGTGACAACAGTTGGTGCAATTATTCGCAAATGGAAGAAACACAAAAGAACTGTCAATCTCCCTCGGCCTGGGGCTCCATGCAAGATCTCACCTCGTGGAGTTGCAATGATCATGAGAACGGTGAGGAATCAGCCCAGAACTACACTGGAGGATCTTGTCAATGATCTCAAGGCAGCTGGTACCATAGTCACCAAGAAAACAATTGGTAACACACTACGCCGTGAAGGACTGAAATCCTGCAGCGCCCGCAAGGTCCCCCTGCTCAAGAAAGCACATATACAGGCTCGTCTGAAGTTTGCCAATGAACATCTGAATGATTCAGAGGAGAACTGGGTGAAAGTGTTGTGGTCAGATGAGACCAAAATCAACTCAACTCGCCGTGTTTGGAGGAGGAGGAATGCTGCCTATGACCCCAAGAACACCATCCCCACCGTCAAACATGGAGGTGGAAACATTATGCTTTGGGGGTGTTTTTCTGCTAAGGGGACAGGACAACTTCACAGCATCAAAGGGACGATGGACAGCGCCATGTACCGTCAAATCTTGGGTGAGAACCTCCTTCCCTCAGCCAGGGCATTGAAAATGGGTCGTGGATGGGTATTCCAGCATAACAATGACCCAAAACACACGGCCAAGGCAACAAAGGAGTGGCTCAAGAAGAAGCACATTAAGGTCCTGGAGTGGCCTAGCCAGTCTCCAGACCATAATCTAATAGAAAATCTGTGGAGGGAGCTGAAGGTTCGAGTTGCCAAACGTCAGCCAGAAACCTTAATGACTTGGAGAAGATCTGCAAAGAGGAGTGGGACAAAATCCCTCCTGAGATGTGTGCAAACCTGGTGGCCAACTACAAGAAACGTCTGACCTCTGTGATTGCCAACAAGGGTTTTGCCACCAAGTACTAAGTCATGTTTTGCAGAGGGGTCAAATACTTATTTCCCTCATTAAAATGCAAATCGATTTATAACATTTTTGACATGCGTTTTTCTGGATTTTTTTGTTGTTATTCTGTCTCTCACTGTTCAAATAAACCTACCAATAAAATTATAGACTGATCATGTCTTTGTCAGTGGGCAAATGTACAAAATCAGCAGGGGATCAAATACTTTTTTCCCTCACTGTATATATACAGTATATATGTTTTTACCCATATACCAATAGGTGCCATTCTTTGCGAGGCATTGGAAAACCTCCCTGGTCTTTGTGGTTGAATCTGTCTTTCACATTCAGTGCTCGACTGAGTGACCTTACAGATAATTGAATATGTGGGGTACAGAGATGAGGTAGTCATTAAAATATCATGTTAAACACTGTTATTGCACACAGAGTGAGTCCATGCAACTTATTATGTGACTTGTTAAGCACATTTTTACTCCTGAACTTATTTATGCTTGCCATAACAAGGGGGGTGAGTACTTATTGACTCAAGACATTTCAGCTTTTCATTTGTTATTAATTCCCCTTTGACAAAAAGGGGTATTGTGTGTAGGCCAGTGACAAAAAATCTGAATTTAATACATTTTAAATTCAGTCTTCAACACAGCAAAATGTGGAACAAGTCAAGGGGTGTGAATACTTTCTGAAGGCACTGTAATATTAGTCTATTTCTTAACTCATGAAAACACAAATCCTTAGTTTATTTAGGGGATACCTTTTGGCTAAGGAGCACCTCTGACCCAGGGGCAATAGCCTCTTTAAAGATAAAAAACAACAACAAGATATTCTACTGAGCATGAACATGTTATATCATTCCATGCCCAAATACATCCAAATACGTTACATAACCTCTTGGGTCATTACCAAGTTCAACTCCACTCCACTACACACAAAACACAAAATTCCCATGGCATGACAACATCCCAACTGCTATTCCCTTTCAAAAATTCTCCGTGAAGTTGTTGGCGTGCGGAGTGGGCCTGAGTATCTGATACCAGGACCAGATGAAATACACCATGATCTACGGCCTCCAGCAGATGTCAAACACATTGTTGTGTGTTGTCTGGAGCGAAGAGGCAGACGATGCACATGTTTTATCGGAGGGCCCTTTAATCTTGTCCACTGACAACACCCTGTGCTGCTTTTCATAGGAATTCCTCTCCCTTTCTTTTTTTTAGAGAAAGATAGAGAGAGAGAGAGAGAATTCTTCACCTTTTCAACTTGACACAAGTAATCTCTTCCACAAGAAATACCACCGCTTTCACGATCAGATCGTAACTTACCCGCTGTGACGCCGGATACGACCAAAGCCAACAGACGGACACTTGACACCCACTCTGACACATGCAATCAGCTCAGTCTTTAAGACTTGATTGGATTTCATGGGGAGTTATCTTATTGGTCACAATCAGAGCCTCAGCCTCAGTGTTACTGTATTCTTATACAGTAGCTTGCGAAAATATTCACCCCCCTTGGCATCTTTCCTATTTTGTTGCCTTACAACCTGGAATTAAAATTGATTTTTTGGGGGTTTGTATCATTTGATTTACACAACATGCCTACCACTTTGAAGATGCAAAATATTTTTTATTGTGAAACAAACAAGAAATAAGACAAGCTTGGCACATCTAGCCATTGGGATTTTTGCCCATTCTTCAAGGCAAAACTGCTCCAGCTCCTTCAGGTTGGATGGGTTCCGCTGGTGTACAGCAATCTTTAAGTCATACCACAGATTCTCAATTGGATTGAGGTCTGGGCTTTGACTAGGCCATTCCAAGACATTTAAATGTTTCCCCTTAAACCACTCGAGTGTTGCTTTAGCAGTATGCTTAGGATCATTGTCCTGCTGGAAGGTGAACCTCCGTCCCAGTCTCAAATCTCTGGTAGACTGAAACAGGTTTCCCTGAAGAATTTCCTTGTTTTTAGCGGCATCCATCATTCCTTCAATTCTGACCAGTTTGCCAGTCCCTGCCGATGAAAAACATCCCCACAGCATGATGCTGCTACCACAATGATGGTGTTCTCGGGGTGATGAGAGGTGTTGGGTTTGCGCCAGACATAGCGTTTTCCTTGATGGCCAAAAAGCTCAATTTTTGTCTCATCTGACCAGAGTACCTTCTTCCATATGTTTGGGGAGTCTCCCACATGCCTTTTGG